AAAAGTAGTAAGTAAAATCAACATGTTTTGGGAATTAGCGCCCCTCAACTGATCATCGAGCTCCACCACCCCAATTCACCTTCGCTCCTCCCCCATCAGCCCTCCTCCCCATTTTAAGACTTGTAGATACGCCACTGCGTGTCAGGAAAATATTTTCGTACACGAAGTGTCCGAGATACAGTGGATAATGTCCCAACTAGAAAAAAAACAAAAGACTGTACATGTGCCATTTAATTGTTCACCTGTTGAGTATTCAACCATAAATCAACTTTTGTTTGTACACAAAAATCGCCAATTATTTATTAATTGTGCGTTGCCAATAATTTGATATATTTTGGTATTTGATATTTTGTGAATGAATATAAATCACTGTCTACCTCACATCACCTTCAAGCCTAGCGGTTGCTGGAATGCTATATACTATATACTATAATCAAGCATGTACTACGAAAGCCTATTCGTGCCATTTAAGTATATAAAATCATCAAAATGTAATCCGAAATTTCGGATTAGTAATCCGAAATAACGGATTAGTAATCCGTTATTTCGAATTAGTAACTCGTTATTTCGGATTACTAATCCGAAATTTCGAATTAGTAATTCGTTATTTCGAGTTAGTAATTCGTAATTTCGGATTACTAATTCGTTATTTCGAGTTAGTAATTCGTTATTTCGAATTACTAACTCGAAATAACGAATTACTAATTCGAAATTTAGGATTAGTAATCCGAAATAACGAATTACTAACTCGAAATAACGAATTACTCAGGAGCGAGGACGTAGGCCTTGGCCTAGAGAGAGAGTTGGGACGCGGTAACGCCTTACCCTAACTTTCACACGTTTCACTCGGTTTCAGTAATTTTGAAAGGAACACATGAATCATGCTGTCATAATAGCGTTGTTACAAATAAAAAGAACTAACATAATTGTCCATTAAATATTGGCATGTATTTAATAATTTATTCATTATTTACTACAGTGAGAAAAAAAAAGAAAAACAGTATTTACACAGATCTCAATAAATAGCTATTAGTATGGTGATTATGTCTTGCTGAGCTATACTGGAAAAAAAGTCTAGTTTATCATAAATTATAGTGTACTGTATAATGTCTGTTTTTGCATTATTAATAAAAAATATTTTCATTAAAATCGAGACAGCTGAAAATAGTTATAGGCCTATGTTTTTTTTTAAATTTTTTTAAGTATATTATAAATTTTTGTTGTACCTGTTACTGTACACATTGTTTATTGAGAAAAAAAAGCTTCATTCTCAAAGTAATTCAGTTATTGAAACTCGTAAAACATTATACAAATACAGACTCTCTTCAGGATTATTTGGTTGAGACATTTGTCTTTCTCTCATTAATATCGAACAAAGATCAAACACATCTTTGTCACATGTGTACTGGCTCTTGAAAATTCACTCAGTAATTCGTTATTTTGTATTACTAATTCGTTATTTCGAGTTAGTAATTCGTTATTTCGAATTAAGTAAATCGTTATTTCGAATTAGTAATTCGTTATTTCGGATTACTAATCCGAAATTTCGAATTAGTAACTTCGTTATTTCGGATTACTAACTCGAAATAACGAATTACTAATTCGAAATTTCGGATTAGTACTCCGAAATAACGAATTAAGTAATTCGTTATTTCGAATTATTAATTCGTTATTTCGGATTACTAATCCGAAATTTCGAATAACGGATTACTAATTCGAAATAACGAATTACTAATTCGAAATTTCGGATTAGGAATCCGAAATAACGAGTTACTAATTCGAAATAACGGATTACATTTTGATGATTTTATATACTTAAGTGGCACGAATAGGCTTTCGTACATATCTTATCAATGATAAGATTATTAAACTTGCTCCTATTTGAGCACTGTTATTATTATTTATCTTTGTATATATTGTTACGGTGTTACGCACCAACTTGATTTGAATATTATTTACAACGATTTCCCAGCTGCGATCTATAAGCTTTTATAACTTAACCACAGTTCCACTATTTGTGAGCGTTTCAGTCAGTTGTATGAGACAAGTGCTTGGCTGGTTAGAACTGAACGATATCCTATTAGGCCTCTGTGTGGTCTAATGGGCATGACACTCCCTTTGATAACGAGAGGTTGCGTTCGAATCCCACTAGAGATACTTTTTTATGCAAATAAAATATAGGAGCTTGTCGTTGATGAGCTATGCTTGATACGATTATTAAAACATGTTCCTATTTGAGAACTGTTATTATTATTGTTATTATTATTATTATTATTATTATTATATAGGCCTATATATATATATATATATATATATAATAATGTTATTATGTAATAGCGAATACTGTAGACTTAACAGTGCAACATTACTAATAATTGCTCAGCTAGATTACACAAAAAAGTAGTCTTAAATTGGAGGCGTCTTCTTGTATGATACTATCAGTGAAAATAAAAAACTTATTGTTTATTTAAAAGTGACATTATCAAAAACCCAGTAATTACATATGCCGTTTTACTAAACTATCCGTAAACTACCTGGTAGCAAATGCAAGGGTCTAAGCATAGGCCTAGTAGTATAAATAAATCTAAGAAGCACACGATCTAAATTTTTTGCAACTAAAGTAATTCGATTGTCTAGAAAAACAAGAATTGATATGTGGTATAAGGAGTGGTTATATATACATGTTTTCTCTTTTTTGACGAACAACGAGATTCTCTCCTGGCTATACAATATTAGCATGGTTCACGTCGAACTTGTTTCTAGATAAGATTTGCATTTACCATAGTTAAAGATAAGCTTCAGGTTCCCTGGTTATAATCTTCCTCTTTTTTTCCCTCAATTTTTAAATAATTTTGAAAATTTGAAGAGGCTAATCGCCTCCACCTTTCCAAGTTCTATTTACATTATCTTTTTTTTTTCTTTTTTTTAAATTTATTTAGGGCCTATTTATTTATTAATTTTTTTTGGTGGGGGGGGAATTTTATCCATCTTTATTACATTATCTGTTTCTTTCACTGGGATATAATATTAATAACTTAATCGTCACCATACGCGACACTCCGTATTTTAAAGGTTAAATGTAAAAATACAGTCTTAGAAAACATACATCATGAGGAGAATAAAAACATTGAGAAAACTTTAAAATGGAGCAAGATTTTAAAGATCTGTTGAAACTTGTTTAAACTCTGTTCAAACTGGTAAGAGTTACGCAATTGTATAATCTACTGTAGTTGCACATGAATTAGTTATTCGTTGTCTTCGAATTGTATATCATCGGTAAAACATTGTCGTTTGTCGTTTCGAGAAACTTTGAGTTCAGAAATAAAGTCCACAAAACACTTATCAAGTACGGTACCGGTAGTATTTTATGAACGTGTTCAAAAGCATGAAAATATACACCCCTGTTTCAATTAATGGTATCGACCACCTCGACAATAACATGTACAACAGAATAATGGCGGACGGGGTTGTAGTTTCAGATTTCGTTAAAACCCCAAAAGTAACTGCTGAAGAGAAGCCTATTTTGACCAAAGAAATGGTTGATACTAAGCAGAAAGATGCTACAGTTACCGATAATAAGGAAAATGTTTCAGAAGAAAGAAATTTCAACGTTGTTATTGGTGAAAATTACCTGGTAAAGCGAGCTGATAACACGTGGCGTAAGTATGGCTTGGGCCTGGCTCACAACAACGTCACTTTCATGCCTGCCAGGAGCAGGCCTAGTATGTAGGCCTAGGCCTAGCTTCTCACGCCTTGGTTTGGCTGCGGATGGGCATGGCATAGGTCTAGGTTTAGATAATCAGCTAGGCCTGTTTGGTATTTTTAAATTGCTCTTATTTATTAAAAAAAATATTTTCTTCGCTATTGTTTATTTAAAACAACTTTAATTTTGGTTAATTTTTTATTTTATCAATTTTAAAGTCCTCCTTTCTAGGCCTAGGCCCTCTCTAGCTAGCATACTGTAGGATATAGGCCTAGGGTAGCCTAGACTAGGATACCCCTAGCCTCCTCCTAGGCCTGGCCTACTACAGTACTACTAGATTACCTTAGTGTCTGTACTTACTAATCTATAGGCCTATACTAACTAGAATCAGTGCCAAGTCTATACTGTAGCCTGTAGGCAGTGGGTGGAGAGGGGGAACAGCAGGTGCCTCCCCATATCGGACAGGTCAAGCCCCTCCCCTCCAGCCAGAACTCTTCACTAAAAAAATAGAATTTTTTCTAGGCCTTAGTATTAGGCTACTCCTAGCTAGGCCTAGGTAATGAAAAATAATGGCCAAGGCAGGTCTTCCCAAGTACTTAGGCAGACTTCCCAAGTACTACTGTATGGAATGTCTGTACATTGGTTTCTATGGAAATTTTGCCTAATTTACGGACATACTGTATGGAAATACACAAAATAACTGTACTAGCTAGGGAAATTTATCATAGGAGTAGGCCCATAAATAAATAGGTCTAAATCTAGAACAAATGACTTTTCCATCAGGGTCTTTTGTTACATTGTCCCTAGACAACTCATACTTTTCGGATTACTGATAATTTATTGTGAAAACTAAGAAAAATTAAAAAAATCTTCATCCTGTCCCGTTTGTTTTTAAAATCCCAGATCGAATTACAGATAATCGGCCCCATGGACGATCAGGCCTGTTTTCAAAATAATTATAACTCCATACTTATGTTACACTCAAAGCAAATTATTGGGAGGCGCTACGAAAATTTTCATTTTCTACGGAAATCTGAGGACATGTATGGAAATGTATTTTACGAACTTGAGAAGTCTGCCAATGCTATCAATCATAATACAGTAGTTCTACAGTTACATGATAGACCTAGCTAGTTAGAGGTCAAGGAATTCTTGATAATGTTCCAATAAAGAACAAAACGTAGAATCAATTATGTCCTTGTATCTGTCATTTTACGGAGTTACCATACTCATGTACTATTTGTTATTCAATGTTGCCCAGTGGTATGGTGAATTAGGTAAAAATATTTTTAATATTGAAAATAGCAGTTGCTACTGTTACACCAGTCTCAACCCAATTCCAATTACCGATGGGATGTTATATGGATTTAGGATAAATACAAATCAGAATTATAAATTCGTTTAAGGCTAGTGTAGTGTAGCAATAGCCACTGCCAATAATTAAAATGTCCAAAAGGAATGCAAATATAACTCCTCATCCAAGCCTTACTAATTCTGTGTTTAGTACGCGTACAACCTACCTTTACAGTATTACATAATTTCCATTATTCTTTAATGTTTTTACCTACTTATTTCAAATGATTTTTGTTGGTGTGACAATAAATTTTACATTTGTTAATACACTATTATTACTTTTAATAAATACTTTGGATTTTGTCTTTCAGATAATGCTGAGGTTGTCCAAATTAGACACAATGATTACAAAATGGGAAGAATGGAGTACTATGTTCACTACAAAGGATGTAAGTCCTCTTAATATCTTTTCATATGTATTCCTCCTGAAAATGACAAAACATCATAAAAAATAATTTTGAAATTAACTTGCTCATTTTGCAGTAACATGAAAATTATGAACTTGAGCATAGAAATTATTGAATAAAAAATGTGTACCTTGATTTTTATACTGGATAATGGTAGAAATAATATTAAACACTTCCAATGAATGTAAAATTATTTGTAAACATTCTTAAATATACTAATGTCTATGTTCAAGTTGATAAATTGTATGTTATGTATTTCAAAATGAGTAATTTAATTTCATATTTATGATTTTTAATATTTTTTTGGTATTTTTCATGGGACAATACATCTTGAATATCTTCTCTAAATTGAGTGAACATGTCCTTATTTATTTGTTTGTTTGTTTTTAATTCGAATCAATATAATGGTATAAAGGTATAAAGTGACTGAAAGTGAACAAGTATATTTTAATTTGTGTTTGTTGTCCATGGCAAAATCTTTATTTACATTATATACATTATTTACTTATATGTCCTTGTTTACCAACTGTTGGCATTATTCAATCATCATTCAATCATTATTCTGTAAAATACCATGTGAGTTTTCCTTGCCACAAAATAAGCTGCATCAGTGGTGAGGTCATATTCAGACAATCAACAAAACATGTCAGAATTGTTCATCATCATATTACTTCCACATGAACTACTTGTCTCTCTAATTAAAGACCCATCTAGGTAACGACCACCTCCTATTAAAGACCATTTTGTTGTGGAGCCAAATTCACAAAAGTCTTTTTTTATCTTTAAAATGCTAACTAGAGACTATAAAGCTGCTAAAGACCATTTAAGCTCCGGTCCCAAAAGTGGTCTTTAGTTGGAGGGAGACCTGTATTTCCATCTTCTTTATTACAGTTATCCTTCTGATTAAAGACTTCTCCAATTAAAGGCCACCTCCAATGAAAGAACACTTTCCTGTTGTCCTAATTTCACAAATGTCTTATCTTTGTTATTCTAATCAGAGACCAAAGCTTCTAATGCCATGGGAACCCCAGCCTCAAAAGTGGTCTTAAATTGAAGGGAGACCTGTATTGATGTACCTTTTTTTATATAATTCCAAAGTGAATCGTCGTATGGATGAATGGGTGGATGTGAATAGGTTAGATGTCCACCATCCAGTGGAGGTAAAGAAGCAAGTCGATCAAAATATCATCTTTGCTGATCAACCAGACAGAAAAATAACACGTAATCAAAAACGCAAACACGATGAAATCAACCACGTTCAGAAGGTAATTTTAAGACCCCTCTAATTCAAAGAACCAAATAACAATCTTTAATCTATTAACACTAAGCTAACCCACTGGGGTGAGAGGCATGGGGAAATTTTCCTCAGATAATTTTCTTGCCCCCCCCCCCCCCCCAAAAAAAAAAAAAAAACATAGAAGAAAAACCAGAATTCGTCAGAGAGAAAAAGAAATGATATGTATTTTTTACATATTAGTAAACTATCTTAGATATATCTATAAAATCCATTAAATAAGCCTCTGAAACCCCTAAATTGTCATTTTTTCGGGACCACTTTCAAGACGTTTTCAGCGACGCCTGAGCATGCCCATTTTGGGCCACCCCAGCATATTGGCCCCTTTCCCCCCCTAAAATTGTTGGCTACATTTTGCCACATAGTGAGATAAAGACTGGCATACATTTATCAGAATTTATTTTGAAGTAATCAATTTTTGGGACAAATACAGGGCCGGCGGAACGTTTTTCAAAGTGGGGGGGCCCCACTTATAAGATGAATGGGAATATGAATCATGCAGATCTGTAAAAACCTAGGGGATGGGGGTCAACATTTTTCCCAAAAAGGAAAATTTTGATATCTAGAAGGCGGGAAATGAGTTTTCCCGACTTCCGAGGTGTCTTTTAATTACTTTTAAGTTCTTCAAAATTCAAGGTTTCCCCCTCTTGAAAACAGTCAGGTAAATTTATCCCTGTTATTAAAGTAGATAGGCCTTATGTGTGTATACATACATAAAAAAAATTGAGTAGTTGCATACGATTTTTTTTCCATTAATCCATAAATCCCAAAAAGGGAAGGGGGTCTGGGGGTTCTCCACAGGGAAAATTTTGATTCCTAGAAGGCGGGAAATGAGCTTTCCCGACTTCTGAGGTGTCTTTTAACTACTTTAAGTTCTTCAAAAGTCAAGGTTTTCCCCTCTTGAAAATTATTATAATGAATCAATGAACCCAAAGAAAATAGGGAGGTTCGGGTTCTTCCCGGGAAAATGTTAATTTCTAAATGGTGGGAAATGAGCTTTCCCGACTTCTGAAGTACCGTATCTTATAGCGATTTTAATTTAAGTTCTTCAAAACGGTCAGGTATTTTAAAGAAAGGGGGTCGGGGGGTTCTCCCCCGGGAAAATTTTTATTCCTAGAAGCGGGAAATGAGCTTTCCCGACTTATGAGGTGTCTTTTAATTACTTTTAATTTCTCCAAAAATCAAGGTTTCCCCCCCCCTCTTGAAAATGATTCAATAGAACCAATGAACCCCAAAGAAAAAAGGGGTCCGAGTTCCCCCGGGAAAATTTCGATTTCTAGAATTCGGGAAATGACCTTCACTGACTTCTGAAATGTCTTTTAAATGACTTTTTAAG